ACCCTATTTCGTTTAAGGTGATGAAGGACTGGTATCTGATTTTTCCAATAATCACATGAGTAGCCTTACGCTTCTATTGAATTTTGCACAGCCTTGCTTCCTAAAGGTATTCTCATTCAGGCTGGACTGGACTGCCGTTTCAACCTCGTCTAGTTCTCATAAGCACATCCAGCGAAACTCAAACAGTGATAATGTAGCATATCATCTAGACACGTTAACCACTACGTAACATTGTCAATGTAAATTTCAAGATGTTAATACTAATGAAGACCAGGCATTTTCCAATATTACATTCTGTGTTGAGATTGTCGATGAAGCAAAACCATATTTGCTATGGCAATCTAGCACTTATCTTCCGCTGATAAATAGGTAACGAGACTAGTAGTAGAACTTATATGAGATGTATTCACCAAAATTCATTTAAGGTGATGAGGCGACCGGTACTTATTAATTAAAAAATAAGTAAGGTAGTCGATTGCTATTACAAATACGACTTAGGTTAATCGAGAATCCCACTAACGAATGTGATGTCTGGCCTTCCTTAAACTTCATATTTGCCCTGTAATACAAGGGCATTTGTAGAAATGTGGGATGGTGTTTAACGTGTCTAAATTAAGAACTTCGCAAAAAATAACACTAGGTAGCGAGGATTTAACAAAATAGGGCTATTAACCGGGTACGACATTCAAGGCTAACTAACATTTTATTCTAAATGAAAAGTTATAACATAATAAATCACTAAGGAATTCTTCGAAAACCACGTTTTTATATATAAGTACTTTTCGACACTCATTTATTCATGAGTAAGAGCATAGTTACCATAGGTCGCATAAGTTGATTTAAGGACTGATAGTTGAGTTCTCCAACAATGAGATGAATAGACTTACGATGTCATTGAATTTTACATAGCCTTGCCTCCCAAAAGGCTATCTCACCAGGGGTAGACGGCAGCTTCGATCTGGTTTAGGTCTCAGCAGCATCATCAACAGGATTCGATAAAGTCGTCAGTATCGTGGCGAAGTTACCATTATACGACCACGAGTTCCAGTAAGTCATAGGGCATATGTGGCATTCAAGGTAAAGCAGGCCTCTCTCAACCGAGTCGATTTTGCAAATATCTGTTTTTTATTCTAATTGACGACATTATTAATCTTTGATATAAGTAGCACTAATTCGTATAAGTAATTCTTGAGTATGAACTTAGTCCGTGGCCAAGTAGTGGACTGGTAACGTCGCCAAGATGCTCACGATTCATTATCGAATCCCTCTATGGATGCCGATAAAAAATAGACGAGGTTGAAAATTCAGTGATCCCTGGATAGGAAGTTAAGTGGAATTCAATGACATCTTGAGGTCTACTCAATTCATTGTTGGGAAACTCAACTATCAGTACTTAGATCCCCTTAAAGGACCGAGGTGACTAAGTTCTTACTCAGTTTTCCTTCATAGAAACTTGTCTTGTGTCAGTAAAATTGTCTGCGTTACTTATATTCATAGAAAGTAGGCTTCTTACAAGTTGAATACAAGTTCTAGCTACCCAAGGTCGCGAAAGTGATGAAAGAACCATAGTTTAATTTTAATGAGGCCTACTAATTCTAATGTGGGAAAAGTTAACTATCGGTCCTTCATAAACTTATGCAATTTGGGGTAATTAGAATTCCTATTAAGAATTTAATGACATTCCCAAAACTTGCTTCATATGAATAATTAAGATAGAAAATAATCTAGTTATAGCCTATAGCTCACCTTCTCACGGGCCCATTCAATGCAGTGACTAACGTTAGCCGGGAATGACTTCAATGTGCAATATGGAATCGCATTGGCGGCCTCTTCGATCAAATCACCACCGGTAGCTCCATCGTCTGTCTGGCTGCCATAAGACTCGCTAAGGCCGGGCAAGACAACCTGCACATGACCCTTGCTCGCGAGAGTGCCAGACTCCAGCATCACCAGCCGGTTGGCAACACAACGAGAATCGAGATAGCGTCGTGCAGGTACATTGTCTAAGGCGGCCAGAACGAGTCCCGGCGACATAAGGCCGAGGTCGAACT